CCCCAAAACCCCAAAACCCCAAAACCCCATGCATGTAATCCTTAATTTAGATATTACTCATGAACATTAATCTCAATACCAAAATCCTTCCTCCAAATAGCTCCTTATTTGTATTCTCACCGACTCGACTCAGCAATGAAAGGAATATAAGCTTATGTTTCAGTCTTGATCGTCTTCAAATATGGAGCTGGGCCCATCGCCTTGCTTGTTGACTCAGAAACCGCTCTTTTGGACTTCCTAAAAGTTAGCATTCACTTACTCTTGCGATTGTAGCTGGTGTTTGGATTCTGGTTCTATACCTAAAGCATTTGAGAGCTAATCTGACACAAAATTTATAGGATAGAAATTTAAAGCCTCATTTGTATAGAATTGAGCAGTTGACATGGGATCGATTTCTACTCACCCATAATAATTTCTATTAGTATAAACCTTTAAAGGAATTCATGAAGGCACCCTTCAAATTGTCCAATTTTCGGAATGATTCTAGTTGTTAGAGATAATTTTACCATCTCCTTTGTCGTTACCACAAAGTTTATGTATCAAATTTTCTATAAGACAATTAGATACTCAAAAAGTAGTGGAGTATGTAATACGAGCATATCTTTGATTGTTGTTTGCTGTAAATCCCATTAAGAAGTCTATAATATCTTCTCGTCTATGTTTCAGATGAATTTTCAGATTAAAGATGTCAAAAGCGTGCACCATTAATTTATTGACCATATGGTGATGAAGAATTTTCTTCTTCTTAGAACAAATCATTTTGACTTTTCATCATAAGGGTCTTCTGACTCACTGCTCTCAGTGTTTGAGTTCAATGGGATCACATTAGACTTCTGGTAAATACCATCATTCTTTCCTTTTCATCCATCACCGAGTTGATCAGAGTGTTCATATTTCTAGCAAATGTGACTGCATCGAATTCTTTGATGAACTTCTCTTCACCTCTCTCATAAAGTTAATATCTGAGCTTAATGTGAAGTTTGTTCTTCATCCTACAACAGTAGAAACACAGAAACTTCAGAGAGCTCAAGATATTAAAAGCAAAATCTGAGAGTTTCCAATTGTATCTCACTCTTTTCTACATTCTTCTGTGAGCTTTGTTGCTGATATGGTGCCTAGATTCTGTCTGAGTTGAGTCATCAAATCCTCTTTGCTCTTCTCTATGCTGAATCTAAAGTTAAGACAAATGATTTACATCTTCAAAGCTTTCAACTTTTAGATCTTCATCTCCTAGATTGACTACTTCCAAATTAAATGCCAAAACTTACAAGGCTTTATGGCTGGTGAATGAACTTGAGAAAGCTTTGAAAGAATCTAGAATAAAAATATTCTCCTGAGAATGCTCTTACAATAAATCCTCCAGCAATACTGAGAATCTCAAACAAGCCTCCAATGTTTCCAGTGGCCTCCATAAAACTAAAGACAGACCTTTCGTAAAATTTTGAGGCGGCATCTTTGACGAACTGGATCACTAAAACAAATAACAAGAGATCTTACTATAAACAAAATTATCTGTACTCTCATCTTGAATTTCAAGCTTCTGGCCAACTTATCAACGCCAACAAACTCTTTCTTGTTATCTCCTGGCTGGTAGGTAAGGTAACTGTCTTGGAGTTCAGCATCATTTTTCCTACAAATTATTGATCTGCTTTCTGCAAGAATACATCATGAGCAACCATAAATCCACTCATCACTCCTTGGTCAATTCTCCTATCAATATAATGTTGCCAAATTTTATTCCAAGTAGATTAACTGATGTTCCAGTAGAAGTAAAGTAGTCAACACTAAAATAGTTAAAATGTGCAACTATTTGGCCCTTGAAAATAGTCAGAGTTAGGTTTTTATACACTGATACTCAGAATTTTAGAAATATAAGTCTTGACAGGATCATTGTAATCGTCAAAGTAAGTGTTTATAAATGGGATCCTGACTCTCAACTTGTTCATAATTTCATCTAAATCATCTGGACATGGAAGTGAGTCTCTTCTGCATTTAGCTACATTTAGTTCAATGAACAAAACTCTTCTGACAATGAATTTCCTTGCACATAGAAGTCTCTTGTTGAAGGATAGAGATACTTATCAATATCTAACAGTTTACCCTATAAAAGTCAGGTGAGTAATACCTCTGTCTGAATGTATAACTTGAATAAAGTATCTCCACATTTTTCCATCTGGATCTGGGTTGATTGGAGTTCTCCCGTTGCTAGAGAAGTCAGACCCCATATAAAATATGTATCTCACTTGTATTCTTAATCCACTGAAATAATTCGATCCCAGCATATTCATTATCTTTGATGTCAAATTCTCGGTCACCTTCCAAGCTACATAAAAATGAGAATGAAAATACCTTGAATCGTCCTATTCCATTCAAAATATTTTAATTTCGCACCTTAATAAGCACTAAAATCTGACTTTTCCTATAATTAATTATACAACATATTTCTCAATTTTATTTATTCCCCAAGGGGTTTTGGGGTTTTGGGGTTTTGGGGTTTTGGGG